CACCATCATCATCACCATCATCGTCATCACAATCGCCATCAACATCATCAGAACCATCATCATCATCGTCATCATTATCACCAGCATCATCAGCACCGTCATCACCATCAATAACATCATCATCAGCATCATCACCATCATCATCAGCAGAAGCATCATCACTACAACCGCCAGCATCGTCACCACTATCACCAGCATCGCCATCAGCATCATCATCGTCATCATTGTCATGATCATCATCATCGCCATCATCATCAGAACCAGCACCATCACCACATCATCATCATCATCATCACCATCATCATCATCATGATAAGCATCATCAGCATCACGATCATCAGCATTATCAGCATCGTCAGCATCAGCATCATCTTCAGCAGCATCATCATCAGCAGCAATAGCATCCGCATCAGCATCATCATCATCATCAACATCCACCGCGTCATCATCGGCATCATCATCATCAGCATCGTCATCGTTACCATCATCGTCAACAACATCATCATGATCATCGTCATCATCATCACCATCATCAGCAACATCATCAGAAGCAGCATCGTCGTCATCAGCATTACCATCAGCAGCATCGGCGTTATCGTCGTCAGCAGCAGCATCATCATTACCACCACCAAAATCACCACAAGCATCATCCTCATCATCATCAGCATCAATCATCATCCGCATCCCAACATGATGATCATCATCATCAGCAGCATCAGCATCATCGTCATCATCGTCATCAACATCATCCTCATCATGATCATCATCGTCCTCATCATCATCACCAGCATCGCCTTCGTCATCGTCACCGTCAATAGCATCATCGCCATCATCATCAACAGTATCATCATCTTCGGAGTCATCATCAACACCATTACCATCAACATCATCATCACCATCAGCATCGCCATTGCAAGTAACTTACATCAGCAGCATCATCACCATACATATCATCATCATAGAGCATCATCATCCATCATACATACATCAGTAGCGCCATCTTCACCAACATCATCATACATCACTGTGGCCGACGGAAGTCCCGATCATCATCGTGCGTACCATCATCATCACCATCAGCAGCAGATCATCATCATCATCATCATCATCATCATCATCATCATCATCATCGCCATCATCATCATCAGCATCATCATTATCATTATCATCGTCAGCATCATCATCATCATCAACAGCAGCATCAGCATCAGCATCGTCATCATCAGCAGCAGCATCCGCATCCGCATCCTCATCATCATCAGCAGCAGCAGCAGCTTCATCTTCATCCTCATCCTCAAATTCTTTTCCTTATAGATAACATCTCCCTGTCGCACCCCGAGGGCAGTTCTTAGGGCGGGCCCGGCGTTTCGCCTGAGACTTCCTCACCATTTATGACTCTGAAACTTTTAAAAGTGGCAACAATTTCACGTCACGGATTAAGGGCGGGTGGATATCAAAATGTGGCTCTCGCCATAGCGTGGCGCACATTCGTTTACAAAGAAATGCAAGTGCTTCACGGATTGAGGGCGGGTGGTTTTCAAAATGTGGCTCTCGCCTCAGCGTGGCGCACATTCGTTTACCAAAAAATTGTAAGAGCTTCACGGATTTATGGCGGGTGGTTTTCAAAATGTTGCTCTCGCCTAAGCGTAGCGCACATTCGCTTACAACAAGTTGCAAGAGCTTCACGGATTGAGGGCGAGTGGTTTTCAGAATGTGACTCTCGCCCATAGCGCAGCACACATTCGTTTACAACAAAGTTGCAAGAGCTTCACGGATTGAGGGCGGTTCCTTCTCGGAATGTGGCCCTCGCCTTAGCGCCGCACACATTCGTTTTAAACATTTGCAAGAATCTGACAGATTCCCATCATCAACGTACCAGAAATGGCGTTTTGGAAGGATTCTGGATTATGCGGGTGCAACAGTTGAGTTGATTCTCTGTGTTGAAGTCCTAAGAATGGCGTTCTGGCACGACTCAGGATCGTCAAGACGCAACAGGCAGGTTTATCCGTGGCGTTGGAATTCCGAGAACAATGTTTTGGCATGATTCAGGGTCTTCAAACGAGTGTCTTAAAACGAGGCAGTTCCATCAATGGAAATGCCCCGTGTTAGGGACTTCTGAAGAGAGAGCTTGGAGGGAGGGTTTACTTCAACATCGTTGATGACTCTTGGGTTTACACTGGTCCTCATCCTCCTCCTCATCATCATCATAATCAGCATGAGCATCATCAGCATCATCGTCATCATCATCACCATCATCATCACCATCATCATAATCATCATCATCATCAGCAGCAGCATCATCATCAGCAGCATCATCATCAAAACTGGGGCTGGCTCAGTGTGGCCTTCACGTTTGCGACGCCTCTTCCCAGCTCCCAGCACCCTGCAATCGTCGGCCACCTAGTGCGATGGTGCCTGCTGCTGCGGCGGGTCGTCGTGCGCGGGCGCGCCGTGAGTTGATCCGCCACGCCCAGCTTACCATCGCTCGAACGTCCATTTTCGTGCATGTGTCGGTTTCGTGCATGGTTTTTCCTCGATGGTCCAGGATGCTCCTCGGTGGTCCTCGCCGACATAATGCACACGTCCGAGCCATGCCAAGCCAGCAGCAGGCACTGGCTCTGCGAAGGCTGCCTGGCGCCGATCGCCGTGGTGGACTACGCGACGCTTGTCGTGGAGGCTGCTGGCGAGCGGCCCGCGCCGCTTGCGCCGCCCCGCCCCTCGCAAGCCCCAGCCGACGGCTCCGTGGAGGTCGTGCAGGTCGTGGCCCCGGCGAGCCCGCACGCGCATGGCCGCACCGGGGAGGTCGTGCAGGTCGTGGCCCCGGGGAGCCCGCACGCGTCTGCTGGGCTGCCGCGGCAGCTGGGGGCGCGGACAGGCGAGCGCGCGGAGGCGCAGCATCCAGAACAGGATTGTGGCGGTGGTGCGCATCGACCTGCAGCTCGTCTGCTGCCTCTGCGGGATGCTCGGCATGGGTTGCATCTGCGCACTGGGCGCTGGCGGCCGCAGGTCTTCTCCCACGGGCTGGCGGTGCGTGCTTTCGTGCCGCGGGGCGTCTCCTCCATCGTCGGGAGGTGGGGCACGTCGTCATGGAGTTCGGCATGGACTGTGTCCGCGTGATGCACTACAGCTGGACCTAGGACAGAAGAACATCCTCCAAAAACATGATACCCTCCGCCGGCCAAAACTGATGAGCATCCGAGTGTATCCTCCCCTAGGATGCACAAAAACATCCCACAAACACGAAGAACACTGAGGTACCCTCCCAGAACCGACCTCAATCTGACATCTCGGTCCAACTGTACGGCATAGGCTGCGCGCTCTAGCTGGGCACGGGCTACGGCAGGCTCTTCGGCGCGTGCTGGCGCGGAATGTTCGTGCGTGGCGCTGCTCTCGCCGTCTTCGCGGGCTTCTGAAGGTCTCTGCACGTGGTCGTGGTGTACGGCATGGAGTACGCGCGCATGCTGGTCGAGGGTACTGGCACCGTCCCCATGCTCATGTGGGCCCCCGGAGCGGGAAAACAGCTAGCCCCCTCGGCCCACATCGTCGGTCACGTCCCACCCAGCCGTGGCTAGGCGGGCTCGCCAGGCGGACATTGTGGCCGACGGAAGTCCCGATCATCATCATCATCATCATCATCATCATCATCATCATCATCATCATCATCATCATCATCATCATCATCATCATCATCATCATCATCATCATCATCATCATCATCATCATCATCATCATCATCATCATCATCATCATCATCATCATCGCCACCACCATCATCATCATCATCAGCAGCAGCAACAGCAGCAGCATCATCATTTTCATCATCACCATCATCAGCATCATCATCAGCATCATCATCATAATCATCATCATCAGCATCACCATCATTATCATCATCATCATCATCATCATCATCATCATCATCATCATCATCATCATCATCATCATCATCATCATCATCATCATCATCATCATCATCATCATCATCATCATCATCATCATCATCATCATCATCAGCATCATCATCAGCATCATCATCATCATCATCATCATCAGCATCATCATCATCATCATAATAGCATAATAATCATCATCAGCATCATCATCAGCATCATCACTATCAGCATTAGCTCATCATCATCATCATCATCATCATCATCATCATCATCATCGTCATCATCAGCATCATCATCATCAGCATCGTCATCAGCATCATCATCATCAGAGTCAGCATCATCAGCAGCAGCATCATCAGCATCACCATCCTCAACATCATCATCAGCATCATCAGAATCATCATCAGCATCATCATCACCGTCATGACCATCATCACCACCACCGCCACAACCGCCATCATCATCATCATCATCATCACCATCATCATCATCATCATCAGCATCATCATCATCATCATCAGTAGCATCACCATCATCATCCGTATCATCATCATCATCATCATCATCGTCATCAGCATCACCATCATCAGCATCATCTGCATCATCATCATCATCGTCGTCGTCGTCATAGTTATATTCATCATCATACCCATCAACATCATCGTCATCAGCATCAGAATGATCGTCATGATCACCATCATCATCATCGTCCATATCATCAACATCATCATCAGCGTCATAAGCATCATCATGTTCATCATCAGTATCAGCATCAGCATCATCATAATCCTCAGCATCATCATCCTCATTAGCATCATCATTATCAGCATCATCATCAACATCATAATCATCATCAGCATCATCATCATCAATGTCATCATCATCATCATCGCCATCGCCATCGTCAGCGTCATCATCATCACCATCACAATCGAAATCATCATCAACATTATCAGCATCACCATCGTCATCCTCATCGTCATGCTCATCGTCATACTCATCATCATCATCAACAACAGCAGCATCATCATTATCAGCAGCATCATCCTTGTGTCCGTCGTCCTCATCCTTGTCCTCCCCCCTCCACCTCCCCCTTCCCCTCCAAATCTCTCTGCTCCTCCTGCCAAGAGGACAAGGCAAGCCTAGAATCACATGCAAGCCCTACCGCAGCGGGTCCATACGCCACTGGAGTATCAGGCTTCCCCTCCGACGCTGCGAGTTCCGAGCCCCGCTGGATTCTGAAATTCGGATCCGCTCAAAATGGGCTCACATGCGGTTCTCCTGGTGTAAGCACTGGGCGGGGCAGGTTTCTCAACTGTCAACGGCTGTCCCGCGAGAGAGGAGGTAAGAACGCGAGAGCGCAGGGCACCCTCCTCGCGCGCACACTACCTTCGCGCCTGGACCATCACGGCTTGTGTAGGCCCGGTCACGATCCAGCCTGGCTGCGGGTACCTGCGGACGGCGAGGGCGAGGAGGCAGACGAGGAGGCGGCAAACGAGAACGAGCGAGCGAGGCAGGTGAGGACCATCGACAGAACCCGGAGGAGGGGGCCAGGAGGCGACGGGGGCTCCACTCGCCCTGCGTGCCGATCTCGGGAGGAGCACACCATACCCGCCACCGCCGGGCCTGCAGGCCCGATGTTGGGGGGCCGAGGTCCCGTGCGCATGCCCACGCCCGGTCAAGCAGCGGGGCGCGCCACGTCCACCGAGCAGCCCAGGGCCCGCAAGAGGGGCGCTGCGGAGGCCACGCTGTGGCGGGGGGGGGAGCGCGATGGAGGATGGGGGAGGGAGGATGGGAACGGGGAGGACGGGGGTGGCGGGGGATGGTGAGGAGGAGGACGGCGAGGATGGAGGAGGGATGGGGACGGGGAGGGCGAGGAGGCGAGGTCTCCTCCTGGAGATCGCGGGAGCAGTCGCACCGTTGCAGACGCATCCAGGCTGCACGGGTCCTGCGGGCGGGTGGCCGCCACCCACCCAGGGAGGGGAGGCACGGAGCAGCCACTCGGCCCTGACCACCCCCCTCCAGCCGCACGCGCCTGGACCCGGAAGCAGACGACACCGCCCCGCCTACGGCCCCGCGGGGCTCAGCGTACACCCTGCGAAATGGTTAAGAAATCATGGGTTAAGAAATTCATAGTCTCAGAACTGGAATAAAAACCCAACATTTCTACTAAAATCTTGGGATTTACGTTGAAACATTAAGAATAATCGAGACCCTGGCCGAAAACGTAGGTTTTCTTAAGCATCGCCTAAGGTGTATGCCGGGAGGTCTGGCGCGGGTGTTTGCACGGCACACGCTGCGGCGCCCGATGGGCCGCAGCGCAACAGGGAGGGAGGGCCGCAGGTGGGGTGGTGTCGTTTGTTTCCTGGTCGAACGTCAGAGCCCCGAATCATCAGGGCTGACTCGGGTTCGGTCGTCGGCATTCCGAACCCGAGTTATACCCTGGGCCCGAGCTGCCCCGGGTGATTCGGGCGTCCAGAGCCCCAAATCATCAGGGGAAACTCGGGTCAGGGCTAACTCGGGTTCGGTTTCCGGGATTCCGAATCCGAATTACCCCGGGCCCGAGTTACCCAGGATAACTCGGGCGCCCAAGAACGGTGCTGGTAGCACAGGTGCTTACCCTGTGGTAGCAGCCCCACCCCCCTGTGGCACCCGGTGCGCCACGTGCCGCGCGCGCGAGGCGCAGGGTCGCACGCTGGTCTCCGTGGACACGCTGGCCCTTGAGCCTGGTTTATCCGACCCCCATCCCCAGTGGCGTGGCCTGGGCCCCACTGGCCGATTTACCCCCCTAGATGGGGCTACAGGCCGTTCCCTTCTGGCCTCGACGAGTGTATCCCCAGCAGGGGTGGCGATTCGGTGGGGGTCTCGAAGGGGATGAGGATGGGCACGGGGGTCGGCTGAACGATCCTGAGCCCTGGACCTCCCGAGGGCAGGGGCGAGCCTCTCCCGGCGGGCAGTCGCTCCAGCAAGGGCTCCAGCACGCCGGGCGGGCACCTCGGGGGGCGATCCCTGGTCCGAGGGTGCAGCCCTCGGGGCCGTTTCAGGGCCAGTCCACCGCCCTCTGCTTCAAGGAGCCGAAGGGCCCCAAGCGAGACGCTATCTGCTAGCGGAGATCTTTTCCTCAGCTGGCGCACTGGTCGGTACTCCCTTCATCGATCCCTCCCCACCCCAATCCTGGTCTCGCCGTGCATGGTGGCGACTGCTGTTCCCGACCCGTTCCGAAAAGGCGAAAAAGGAGGAGGAGCAGGAAGCAAGGAGGAGGGTAGACGACGACGAGCAGGAGCAAGGGGAGGACGGGCAGGTGGTGGACGAGGACGAGCAGGAAGAGGACACGGAGGACGAGGGCGGGATTGGTGGCCGCCTTCGCGGCCCGCCTCTCAGCTCTATGTCATGCCATTCTGAACTCTGCTCTCTCATTGAATGTGCTCTCATCGGTTGCTACAGTCGGGGAGACGTAAGACTCGGGTACGGGGGACTCGGGTCGGCCTAACGGGGCCATCAAAAAAATGACGAGGCCCAATCTGAAATTTGATGCGACCTCCCGCTATAAACATCCAGCGACAACTGGCCGTCAAAATCCAGGACGCGCTCGTCAAAAAACGTCGGCAAATACGAGTTCCGGCTTACTCGAGTCTGATGCTTCCCCGATACAGGAGCATAGCAGAAGAGATACGCACTGGGATTTAGTCGGGCACGTCACCCTACAGACGGATTTTGGGCAGAAACATGGAGAATTGCCACATAACATTCAAAAAATGCTCCAAAACACTCACGTGTCGTCCCCAGACTATCTTTGACTGTTTTCCCAATCTTCCCCCTGTGGAGGAACAGGCCCGACTTCACACTGGGAGTCTGCGAGGGGAGGGGCGAGGGGGGGGGGGGGCAACGGGCGGGCGCTCGCCTGAATCCGAAGTTCTTCGCCTCGCGCCGCGGGGAGGCGCGCGCCGGCCACCGCCCCCCCCCCCCCCCCGGCCCCGGGAGGAACGCCCCCTCGCCCGCCCCCCCCCCCCGAAGGGGCGTCCGTAGGGTGAGACCCTCGCGCGCGCGCCGCGGCGCGCTGCCTCGAGGAGGAGGAGGAGGAGGGGGAGGAGGAGGAGGGGGGGGAGGAGGAGGAGGAGGAGAGGAGGAGTAGAGGAGGAGGAGGATGAGGAGGAGGAGGAGGAGGGGAGGAGGAGGAGGAGGAGGAGGAGGAGGGGCACGGCCGCTGAAATGGGCCCGGAAACGCGCCCCCCAAAAAGGGACGGTCTGGGATCCTCCAAACGGAAACAAGGCTGAAACTCAAAAACCACTCCCGAAGGGGGTCGGAAAAATGGCATGCGGCACCCTCCCCTCCTCCTCCGCTCCGCCTCCGCCCCCGCCCTCCTCCTCCTCCTCCTCCTCCTCCTCCTCCTCCTCCTCCTCCTCCTCCTCCTCCTCCTCCTCCTCCTCCTCCCCCCGCCTCCATTCTTTCTCCTTGTAAATAAATTTTCCCTGTCGCACCCCGAAGTCGGTTTTTGACGGCGAGCCGGGCGTTTCGCCTGAGACTTCCTCTCCATTTATGACTCAGAAGCTTAAAAGTGACAACCGTTTCAAAAATGGAGGGCGGATCGTTTTCAAAATGTGGCTTTCGTCGAAACGCCGCGAACATTCGATTTCTAAATTTGCAAGAGTTTGACGCATTGAGGGCGCGTCGTTTTCAAAATGTAGCTCTCGCCTTAGCGCCGCGCACATGTTTTCAAAATGTGGCTCTCGCCTTAGCGCTGCGCACATTCGTTTTCAAAATCTAAAAGAAAATCACGGATTGAGGGCGGGTCGTTTTCAAAATGTGGCTCTCGATTTAGCGCCGCGCACATTCGTTTTAAACATGTTCAACAAAAAACAGAAAACAAAAGAGAGAGAGAGAGAGAGGAGAAACAAAAAAACACGGGTTCCCAGAATCAACGTAACAGGCATGGTGTTTTTGAAGGATTCTGGATTATGCGGCTCAACAGTTATGTTGGTTCGCGGTGTTGAAATCTGAACAATGGCGTTATGGCAAGATTCCGAATCGTCAGGACGCAGCAGTCAGGTTGATACGTGGCGGCGTTGAAATCCAGAGAACAATGTTCTGGTATGCTTCAGGATCTTCAAGCGGTTGTCCTCCAACGAGGCAGTTCCCTCAATGGAAATGAACATTGTCTGGGGCCTACGAAAAGGGAGCTTGGAGGGAGGGATAATTCCGACATCGTCGATGGCTCTTAGGTTTACACTAGTCATCCTCCTTTTCGTCCTCTTTCTCCCCCCCCCCCTGCTCCTCAGTCTCGTCCTCCTCATCATCATCATCATCATCAGCATCCTCATCATCATCATCATCATCACCATCATCATCATCATCATCATCATCATCATCATCATCATCATCATCAGCATAATCAACATCATCATCATCAGCATCATCGTCACCATCATCATCATCCTCATCATCACCATCATCATGATCAGCATCATCATCGTCATCAGCAGCATCATCATCATCCGCATCATACTACTTTTTCTCCTCCTCCTCCTCCTCCTCCTCCTCCTCTTCCTCCTCCTCCTCCTCCTCCGCCTCATCCTCATCCTCCTCCTCCTCCTCCTCCTCCTCCTCCTCCTCCTCCTCCTCCTCCCTCCTCCTCCTCCTCCTCCTCCTCCTCCTCCTCCTCCCCCCCCCCATCCTCCTCCTCCTCCTCCTCCTCTCCTCCTCCTCCTCCTCCTCCCCCTCCTCCCTCTTCCTCCTCCTCCTCCTCCTCCTCCTCCTCCTCCTACTCCTCCTCCTCCTCCTCCTCTTCCTCCTCCTCCTCCGTTTCCTCCGTTTCCCCTCCTCTCCTCCTCCTCATCCTCCTCATCATCCTCCTCCTCCCCTCCCCCTCCCCTTCTCGTCGTCCTCCTCCTCCTTTTCCTCCTCCCCCTCCTCCTCCTCCTCCTCCTCCTCCTCCTCCTCCTCCTCGTCCTCCCCTCCTCTCCTCCTCTTCCTCCTCCTCCTCCTCTCTCCTCTCCTCCTCCTCCTCCTCCTCCTCCTCCTCATCTTCAGATTCCTCCTCCTCCTCCTCCTCCTCCTCCGCCTCCTCCTCCTCCTGTTCCTGCTGTTGCTCCTCCTCTTCCTCCTCCTC